GCCGCCCAGCCTTACCCACCAGCTCGTTGGGCTCCAGCCCGCTGTCCGTGTTGATCCCGCACAGCACGAAGTAATGACGAAGCAGCGGGCGAAGGGAGGAGCCGAGCCTGGGCTGGGCGCCGTGCTGCTCTGCTCATCCCGCCTGTTGCACCTGTCGCTGCTGCTGTGTGGCAGGCTCGCTGTTGCTCCCCGTGGTCTCCACGCCCGTCCTGGGGCAATGCCAGCATGCTCATGAGAGCACAGCCACTGCTCGTCATCGCGCGGCGATCATTCCCAGTGCCGGGGCCAGAAGCCATGAGCCCGGCGCCTGTAGGTCAGCTGACCAGTGCTCCCTCTGTGGGAGCGCACTGACCACCAGGGAGCAGCTCCTGCATTAAGCGTCTGCCCCCTGGTGTCACACATCAGAGCTACCGTCAATGGGCTGCTTAGGCTTTTATATACACTAGAGGCCCGGTCTACAAAAATCCCTGCACTGAGGGGGTGTCCCTCAAACTAACCTGCCCCCTCTCACAGTCTTGGAGCCTTCAGGGGGTGTCCTACTGATGGCTTAGACCTGCTCCTGGGAGTGGGCCTAAGCCACAGTCTGGCCTCCCTCTGTGGAGGTGACCAGGATGATCAAGGAAAGGCGCCCTTCCCCTCACCTGCTGCTGCTGCCACCGCTGCTCACTGCAGCTGCCTGCCTTCGGTCCTCATAGCCAAGTCCAGAAGGACGTTCAGCTGCCTGGCATAATTAGCATATTATGCTTTTATTATTATAAGTAGACTAGAGGCCAGGTGCATGGATTCGTGCACTGGTGAGGTCCCTCAGCCTAGCCTGCAATCCAGGATCCCTCAGAAGATGTTGGACTGCCAGTTTTGGGCAGATCCCCTCAGGCCTGGTGGCATGGAGCCTAAACCGGCGCTCCGACATCCTCCACGGGATGTGATAGTGTGTAAAGCGGCAGGCGGCCAGGGAGGAGCCCGAGCCCAGGCCAGGTGCCATGCTGCTCCTGCCGCTGCCACTCATAGTGCTTCTGCAGAGGCACCGCTCAGCTGACCAACAGGTGCTAGAAGTTGGGCTCATAACCCTCACTTCTGGCGCCTGCTGGTCCACTGAGCGGCACTCCCGCTGTGGGAGCGCACTGACCACCAGAGGGCAGCTCCTGTGTTAGCGGCTGCCCCCTGGTGGTCAGTGCGTATCATAGCTACCAGTCACTTAGGCTTTTATAGAGAGAGACCAGAGGCTTGATACAGGAAATTCGTGCAAGAGGCTTGGCCCTCGCAGCCCCAGCTTAGTCTGGAAGGTTGTCTGAATGGTCGTTAAGCTGTTCAGTCATCTGGTCTAATTAGCATATTATGCTTTTATTATTATAGACTAGAGGCCTGGTGCATGAAATTCATGTAGGGGGTGTGTCCCTCAGCTGAGCCTGCACCCTCTCTAATCTGGGACCCCTCAAGGGATGTCAGACTGCCCATTTAGACCTGATCCCGATGGGCAGTCGGACATCTCTCTCACAATCCAGGACTGCTGGCTCCCAACTGCTTGCCTGCCTGCCTTCCTGATTGCCCTTAACTGCTTCTGCTGCCAGCCTGATCTCCCTCTAACCACTCCCCTGACAGCCTGATTGATGCCTAGGTGCGCCCCTGCCAGCCTATTTTCCCTCCTCTGCTGGCCCGGTCACCCCTAACTGCCCTCCCCTGAAGGCTTAATTGCCCCCCAACTGCCTTCCCTTGCAGGCCTGGTCCCTCCCAACTGCCCTCCCCTGCTGGACATCTTGTGGTGGTCATCTTGTGTCCACATGGGGGCAGGGTCTTTGACCACATGGGGGCAGCCATCTTGTGTGTTGGAGTGATGGTCAATCTGCATATTACTCTTTTATTAGATAGGATAGAGGCCTGGTGCATGGGTGGGGGCCAGCTGTTTTGCCCTGAAGGGTGTCCCAGATCAGGGTGTGGGTTCCCTTGGGGTATGGGGAAGCCTGGGCAAGGGGCCTGTGGGGGTTTGCAGGCTAGCCATGTCCCCTGGTGACCCAAGCAGAGGCCCTGGTATCTGGGATTTATTTATCTTCAAGAATTGAAACTTAGTACCATTGAGTGGAGGCCTGGGCTGACCAGGTTGTGCCGAAAGCTTGGCTTCCTCTATCACAGGGGAAACCCAAGCCTCTCTCCTGCTCTCTTTGTGGCCACAGCCATCTTGGTTAAATTAATTTGCACACTCGCTCCTGATTGGCTTGTGGGTGTGATGGAGTGATAGTTAATTTGCATATACTCTTTTATTAGATAGGATGGTCCCACACAGGGCGGTGTTGCTGTCACAAGGCCTCAGACATCTTCATGGCTGAAGGCTGTTGAAGAAGAGTGTGGCCAATATAAGGCAGGGGCATGAACATGACATCCTGCTCACAGACGGCCTCTGCCTCCGAGTCACTGTGCCATTCAGCCAGCAACTCACTGCTACTTGCTAGATCTTTTATTTATCAAACTGTCAGATATTATATGTCCTTTTATTGTGCTTCTTCCTCTGATGTCCTGGTCATGTCTTGTAACCTTTCGCCTCCCACAGTCCCTAGCCAGCCCTTGATGTGACTGCCTGGGACTGTACAGCAAACCTCTGTTATGCCATGTGTTTAATCACTCTTGGCTTTCTCAAATGCAGGCAGCACCCAAACTGTAAATGGAACTTTCCCAGAGTTATTTTATATATTGGTTTTTGGAATGGTGTAAAAGAAAATATGCTCTCAGTTATATTTCCAAGCCATACTACACAGGAGTTCAGCCCATATGTATGTGAAGTAAGCTGTCCCCAAACCTCCATAAAACCTACTTTTCTTCTAGAACAGCCGGCTCAGGGGAGAGCTAAGCTGACGTATGGTGACCTTCCACTCCCAGACGCCCACTGCTGCCCCGGTCTCGGGCTGAGGCTGGGTGAGCGCCTGGCCCCGGAGCCACAGGGGTGCCTGATGGAATCCGCTGGCAGAGGGGACGAGGGATCGCGGGGCCTCCCCTGCCCCACCCTCCCACCCCAGGTGGCGGTGCAGGCCTCCCTGGTTGCTAGGAGAGGTTGGGGCAGTGGGCTTCTTACAGTTTTAACAAGATGGAGTCCTTCCCCTGAGCTTTGACTGAGAGGGAGTGGGAAGCTGAGGGGCGTGTGCTAGGCAGAGCCTAGTGGAGGCAGGAGCGGGCAGGAGAGGATTCCTCCCGGCGCCCCACACCCCTACAGCACACACTGGCCTGGCAGAGGCGTGGGATGGGACGCCCTGCCCCCCAGGCGGCAGCACGGCTGACGGAGGAGGCGGCGGGATGCAGGCAGAGGGGGTGATACGCACACCGCAGTCTGGGCACAGGCCATGGCTGCCGGAGAGGTAGAGGCCAGAGCCCACGCCGAGGGCCCGCCCTGCTCATGTCCCGTTCCAGAGCCGTCGCTCTGTTTTCTGAGAACGGACTGCGGGGTAAGTGATGACGTCCAGATGCTCCGCTCTGTGGGCAGCTCAGGCTAGCACATGGCTGCCTGAGGCCATTCAGCGGAGCAGCCCCAGGACCTGCAGCCCCTCAGCAGCCTCCTCTGTCCTCACTGCTCCACTCCCCTCCTCAGCACTCAGAGCTGTGGGGCTGGGCTTGCCTGTGCCCCAGGAGGGGAGAGAGCAGGGGGTGGGAGCGGAGGTGAGGTGGGCCGGGTGGGTATGTTGGGAGGGCAGGGGCTCTGCCAGCCAGGCCCCGCCCCAGCCTGCCCTGGGCCTGCAGTGAGGGGCAGAGGAGAGGCAGTGGAGGAAGTGTGGTTCGCCTTAGAACTGTCACTGTCACACGCAGGACCTGTGGCTGGTGACGCTGCCCACCCTCCTAAAGCGAGTCCTCCTCCATCCGGGGCTGCTCCCGTGCTCCTCCCCACCACAGGCCAGCTCGCCCGGGCCCAGAGTGGGTGCGAGCATCGCCGTGACAGCATCTAGAATAGTGTGTTTGTTAGGAGAGAAACGGTGGAGTTCGTTGGTAGGGCTGAAGCGGCACCTCAGGGCATGCTGTGCAGAGGTTACTGAGATGGGCGGCTGGAGCTGGGTGTGGGGAGTGGGTGCGTTTTCCCTGGAAGCCGAGGTTGTAAGGACAGTGAGCGGTGCTAGGTTTCCTGCCCGGCTCACTGCGCCTGCCGTGGGGTGAGTCCCCACACTGCCCCAGCCAGGACAGCCTGCAGGGGCCTCCAGGCAGCAGCTCAGGGGCTTAAAACCCTAAACAGCGCCCTGGCTGGCGGCTCAGGGAAGGAAGGGCGAGCCGCAGGGCAGCGGGGGCCGGCTCTCAGGCTTAGCTACCCGCCCCCCCCCCCCCCCAGAAGGGCAGGTGTAGGGGGGCGGCTGTCCGGTGGGGGTGGGATGCAGGCAGCAGAAGAAGCCTCTCGGCCAGACAGGAAAGCTGGTGTTAGAGGCCCTCACAGGGCCCAGGACAGCCGGACAGCGGTGCCGCCCCCGGGAAGGGGGTAGAGTGGCGGCGGGAAGCGGCTCGGCTCCCTGCCCCGTGCGGGTCATAAGCGGTGTCCGCTGGGCCTGGCGGGTGGGCGGCGCCCAGCACCATGTCCTCCGGGAGCAGCGGCTCTAAGCGGCTCTTCACCCGCTGGGCCCCTCACTGTGTGCTGGGCTTGTCCGGGAGGCTCTGGATAAACATAAAGCGGCCTGAGCAGGGGCAGGGAGAGGGCTGCCGGCCGGGCGCCGGGCTGGGGACGCCGGGCGCGCGCTGTGGGCACTCAGGGCGGCGGGACCGGCCCCGCGCCGCCACCCTCCCGGCTCGGCTCCTGCGCTGCGGGTCTGGGCGGCCGGCGGGCCCATCGGAGACCGCGCCGCAGCCGGGGGAGGGGGGGGGGGCGGAAAGGGGGGAGTGGCGCTCCGGCTCTGCTGCCGGCCACCCCCCTCCGCCCGCCGGTCCCCTCCCCTCCGCCGGCCGGTCCTCCCCGGCGGCGCTCCGCGGAGGGCGCGCGGAGGGCGTGCGGAGGGCGCGGGGAGGGCGCGGGGAGGGCGGCGGTCCGCGCAGGGCGGGGGCGGGGGGCGGGCGGGGGGCTCCGGGAGCTGAGCCCCGCCCCCTCCTCCTCCTCCTCCGGACCGCGGAGCCCGGAGCGGGCATGGGCCGCACTCCGCCGCTCCGGCACCATGACGCCCGTTCGCTTCGTGGTGGCTGTGATTCTAGGGGCGCTCCCCGGGGTGGTGGGCTCTGACCCCGTCCTCGTCTACCCCCTCCACTACCGCCACGGCCACCGGCCCCCCGCGGGCCCCCGGGTTCCCTCCCGCCTCCCCACCCCGCGGGCGCACGCCCCGCACCCGCACCCGCAGCCGGCGCCCAGCGCGCAGCCTCCGCGGGCCCTCCACGCGCAGCGCGGGCCCCCGACGGTCCCCGGGGCCTGCCCTGCGGGGGGGCCCTGGGTCAACGTGACGGCCGCGGGCGCCCCGTGTCTGCGCTGGGCGGACGTGCCGCCCCTCCTGGAGCGGCTGCCCCCCGCGGACTGGGCTCCGCTGCGCGGGCAGCGCCACAACTTCTGCCGGAGCCCCGACGGCGCGGGCCCGCCCTGGTGCTTCTACCGGAGCGCGCGGGGCCGCGGGGACTGGGGCCACTGCGCCTGCGGACTCGGTGAGCCGGGAGGACCGCCCGAGAGGAGGGCGTGGGCGCCGGAGAGGGAGAGGCGCGGGTGGCGGGCGGCGGTCCCCGGCGGAACGGGCTGCCCTGAGTCCCCAGCCCAGCCGGTCCCTGGGCAGTACCTTCCCCAGGTGTGCTCTGCGGCCGCCAGGGCGATGGCTTCTCAGCCAGGCTGCGCTCTGGATGCCTGGATGTGTTTCTGCTTGTTTTTTCCTGGTCACCGTGTGTGTGTGTGTGTGTGTGTGTGTGTGTGTGTGTGTGTGTTCTTTATCTAGATCTTATCTAGATCAGTTTGCCTTAAAGGTGTTACAATATTTATGCAAAAGAGGCACGTTTTTAATTGCTTGTTTTGGGAAGGGAAATATTAAATGTAATATGACAATCAATACCTTTCCACCTTCCCAGACTCCTATTGGAAAACATGTAGAGCTTTTGCCTTACTTCAAACATTGACCTCTACTGGAGAAAGTATGGCAGTATTTCTGGGCCAAAATATAACTTGTCAGAACGATGTTCAGGTCTGGGCGAGTGTGGTCAGGATCATCAGTGAGGGGGAAAAAGAGGGAAAGAGAAACAGCAAGGGTCTCCGGGAAGAAGCAGCTTGCCAGCGTCAGGGGCGGCCTCAGGATGCACTGCTGCAGGTGTGCTTGTGGGGACGGGTGAGCCGGTGAGGAAAGGCTGTGAGGTGTTCTAGTTTGTGGTGGTGAAAGCGCCACCTGGATAGAGCTAGTGAAAGTGAATCACCTGCCTTAGCTGCTGCTTCCTTTTGAGCTTGGGAGTTTGTTTAATATGAATGAGAGTCTTCTCCTCCTCTTCCTCCTTCTCCCTCCTCCTCCTCCTCCTCTTCCTCCTCCTCCTCCTCCTCCTCCCCCTCCTCCCCCCCTCCTGCTCCTCCTCCCCCTCTTCTTCCTCTTCCTCCTCCTCCTCCTCCTCCTCCTCCTCTTCCTGCTCCTGTTCCTCCTGCTCCTGCTCCTGTTCCTCCTCCTGCTCCTGATCCTCCTCCTCCTCCTCCTGCTCCTCCTTCTCCTCCTCTTGTAGCTGGGAAGAAAAACTTACGTCCTTCAAAATTTAAATTTTCAAAAGAAAGAAAGAGAAAAAAAGAAGAAAGAAACAAAGAAAGAAAGGCTGCTCTCCACACAAGCTGTGGGCGGTCCATGGGCTGGGGTTCTGACAGATGTGCGCTTTGTGCTCGGCGGAGGTAACCTGGAGGCTAGCTTTGACGTGCCATCCTTCCCGAGCGAATGGTTGTTTATCTGTGCCTTCTGTTGCATCAGTGCCCTGCCTGGAAGGAGATAGAGAGGCAGGGTGAGACCATTATCCTTCATCCTACAGAATGAGTCATCGCTGTGCTCATGTTCCGTGGACAGAATGCCAATGTGGCTGTGAAGCGTCTGAGGCGGTGTCAGGCCGAGCCCTCGCGCTGTCCCGTCAGTTCCCGAGAGGCTGTGCGTAGTGAGAGCTCATGTTTAACAGCAGCGGCCGTTTTTCATTTTCCGGCTGCTGTTACTGTCCGGAGTGCATGTGCAGGAGGAGGAGGGAAGAAGCGCTGGGACTCAGCTAGGGGCTGTCGGGATCTGGTGCTCTCTCTCTGCCTGCACATGCCACCTGCGGAGCCGCTGGCCGGGAGCCTGCCGAGTGGTGAGGACGGCAGCACAGCCTGCGACGCCTTCAGTATGGCTGCATCCCACCAGCCAGAGCACCAGGTCGTGGGGTGAAGGAATTGAACACAGGGGAACAAAAGAAACCACCCAGGGGGGAGGTAAATGCCCCCCACCTGCCCCCCAAACCAGGAAAGCCACCGGTTAGCTGTGTGCTCACTTAACTGCTTTCACAGACTTGGTCTTGATAACTCATTCTGTCATTTTCTCTTCGCTTACTGGTTGGGCACAAATCATACCTTGAAAACGACTGGCTTTCTTGGACTCAGGAGCGTGCGCTAAGCTCGCGGGCGGTGGGAAGAACATGGAACTGTGTGTTAGAAAGCTCGGTGTCCGCGGCCTCTGTGGGAGCCGCGCGGTGCTGGGCCTGGCTCCTGACCCCCGGGCTTCGGTGCCTGGTCTGGAGAGGAGCGGCTGGTACAGCAGGTTCCCTCCGAGGGTCCATGGCTCTGAGCACCAGCGGGTGAAGAACAGCCGATCTGTGCGGCGCGGGCAGAGCGTGCTGCGTGTCCGCTTCCTCGTGTAGTTCTCACGGCGGCATCGCCAGGAGCGCATCGGCACCCCCAGCTCGTTTTGCTCCCCCTATCAGGTATGCAGACACAGCAATGCTGGCCGGCCTGAGGGCCTCCCTGTGGAGCCTCAGGATTAACTGGAATGAAAGGAAGGAGGAAGGGAATTGTGTTCGGTCCAGGTTATAAGATTTCTAGTCTCTTATGATTTACAAATATCCAGGTTTGTCTTCCTTTCCTTTTTACAAAAAACAAAGAGGACAAAAGGAAAGAAAATGTATAGTAATGAGATCCCACCTTTAAAAAGTAAGCAGAGGCAGAGCCACATCTAGAGTTGCTTCCAGGGAAAGAGGAAGTGGCCAGGGGTGGAGAGCTGGGTGAGGCGGAGCTGGCGGGGCAGCAGGAAGCCTAGGTGAGCTGGGCAGGGCCGGGCACTCCGGGGCAGGAGTGTCTGAGAAGGAGAAAGGCCATGCCTGGGCCCTGGTCGAGGGAAGCTTGCCGGTTAGTCATGAAGGGCCATGGGGGAATGGAGCACCGGCAGCAGCCCAGAGAGCTCACTGTGAGCCCAGGGTCACCGGGACCTGCTATGATGCACATCCTGGGCTCTCGCCTTCAGTGGCCCCAATTACATAATCCCTGGATCTGCTCAGTCGAGGTGCTTTAGCTGCTGAAGACCCCTTGTTACTGTCAGGGAAAACCCCGGAGGAGTCGGAGCCCACCTGGGTACACGCACAGAGGTATCTCGCAGTCCAAGAGCCCTTGGGGGGTGTCCCACTGATGGCTTAGGTCCGATCTCTGTGGGATCAGGCCTAAGCTGGCCGTCAGATATCCCTTTGGCAGCCCAGGAGCCCGTGGGGGATGTCCCACTTACGGCTCCCTGCGGGGAGCAGCCTAAGCCGCAGTCGGACATCCTCAGCGCTGCTGAGGGGGTGGCAGAGGCCCCACCACTGCCGCTGTGCTTGCAGCTGTCAGCCCAGCTTGTGGCTGAGCGGAGCCCTGCTGTGGGAGCACACTGGCCACCTGGGGCAGCTCCTGCACTGAGTGTCTGCTCCCTGGTGGTCAGTGCACGTCATAGTGACTGGTCATTCCCCGGGCGGAGGGTAAAATTGCATATTACCCTTTTATTATCTTAAATTGACCATACCTTCACTATGCCAATCAGAGTGACTATGCAAATTAACCCAAACAAGATTGCCGCACCCAGGTCACTGTGAGGTAAGACCTGGAGGAGCTGCGGGTCCCTCCTGCCCAAGAGGCTTTCGGCCTGGGCAGGCCTGGGCAGGGGCGGAGCCTGTGTTCACAGGGAGCTGGAGGGCCCTGCCCAGGCATAAAGCTTCGGCCAGAGGCTTTAGGCCTGGGCAGGGCCCAGCCCGCGATTGGTGTGAACTACAGAGGAAACACCTTTTCTGACTGCTCATTGGCTAAGCTCCCTGTATGCCACTGGTAATATTCTTAGTAACTTGGGTGATAAGAATCCGAAAAGGTGATCTGGGGTTTTTCCACCACACTTCTGGAGAAAAAAAAAATGAAGGCCTGCTGCTAGAGGGCTGAGCAATGTCATATCCTGCCCCAGCTGGTTTGGCTCAGTGGATAATGCCTACCTACTGCAGGGTCCGGTTCGATTCTGATCAAAGGCATGTACCTAGGTTGCAGGCTCCTCCCTGGCTGGAGCCCAGATCAGGGCTTATTCAGGAGGCAACCAATCAAAGTGTTCCTCTCACTTTGATGTTTCTCTCTGTCTTTCCCTTTCTCTTCCACACTCTCTAAAAGTCAATGGAAACATATCCTCAGGCGAGGTAAAGAAAGAAAGAAAAAAAGAAAGAAAGAAAGAAAGAACGAAGGCATATCCTATGAAAGACACATCTTGAAAATGCCTAAAGAAAGTTGTCATTTTTTCTTGGTGAAGGGACTGGAGTCCGTGTTGATGAAAACACCTTGGTGGCTGTGTGACTGGCAGTGGCTGCAGCAGTAGGGTGATGGGCTGGTGCCTTTTCCTGATCAGTCAGGTTGCCTCCCACAAAGGGAGTCCAGACTGTGGCTTAAGACATCCCCTGAGGGCGTCCAGTATGTGAGAGGGGGCAGGTTGGACTGAGGGAACCCCCCCCCCCCCAGTGCACAAATTTTGTGCACTGGGCCCCTAGTATAGGATAAGTAATAACAAGTGTTGGAGAGATTGTGGAGGAAAAGGAACCCTCATTCACTGCTGGTGGGAATGTAAACTGGTACAACCATTGTGGAAAACAGTATGCTGGTTCCTCATAAAATTAAGAATAGAATTCGCATATGATCCAGTAATCCCTCTTCTGGATATCTACCTGAAAAACGCAAAAACATTTATTTGCAAATATATATTCACTCCTGTGTTCATCACAACATTATTCATGGTGGCCAAGACATAGAAACAACCAAAGTGTCCTGTGTAGATAATTGGGTAAAGAATATGTGGTACATATATACAATCCAACACTACTCATTTATAAAAAATAAAAGGAGAAATACCGCCATTTGCAACATAGATGGATCTTGAAAATATCATGCTAAGTGAAATGAGTCAGAAAAAGATAAAAACCAGATGATTTCACTCATGTGTGGGCTATAAAATGGGAACTCATAGACCACAGTTATAGGGGTTATGAGAGGGACGGGGGTGGGGAGATAGTAAAGAGTAAAGCGGGCCAAATATATGGTGATAAAGGTGATTTGACTTTGGGTGGTGAGCACACCATGCACTAAACAGGTCATGTGTCACAGAAATGAACACTTGGAAGCCAGGAATTGTGTAGCTTCTTCAGCATCTCACTTTTCTAGAGCAGTATCTTCCTCTCCC